TATGTTTCTAGGTTTGTCAGCACCATACCCGTGCTCGTGGGTTTCACCGAAGTGGTAAACGTCTGAGACCTGCATCACTTCGGGCTTTCCTCCGATATTAAGCTGACACGCTGCGATATAACTGGAATACTGTTAAAAGCGGCGTTTAACCCAACTTACTCCCTCAAATACCGCGCTATCGTGCGACCGCGGGCTCCCTATACCGTTACCGTGCCTCACGCTCCAGTGACTCTCGCTTCATGACTCAACAAGACGATGGTGTCGCTTTAAAGGGGCACTGATCTAACGGAATTCCCCGGACTGGTTGTTGCCTTTGTTATTGTTTTTTCCCCGTGAGTACCCGGATGATACGCAACGCAACTGAGCGTGACCAGAGACTGGGCTGCCGTCTGCAAAGACAGCTAAATAAACTTGGAGCCTGGAGGCAATATTTGTTTTACGCATTTTTGCATAAACACTGATTGGTTAACCGTGATCTATAAAGATTTCGACAAAGGGCGCATGTTAATTAATTTCTTCAACCTAAACAAACAGACAAAAAGAACGGCGGAGCTCATCGGATGTCGTCATTTGGAAATACCCCTGATGGTTATAGTTTAATACTAAAAAAAGTATCCATGCAGTGAAAGCATTTTCGGATTTCGGCTTGCGTCGATAATACGATTACTACTCCCTTGTTGTCATCCACGTTTTCTCGTATAACCCTACACTTGTATATTGGTCGTCATTCACTTGATGCTTAGTTAATGAATTTATTACATGTACAATTAGTGGTAGCGCCACTTAGATTACCTGACAAAGGTTCCCATTTGGCATTTATTGTGTCTGGGGTAATTATTCAATCTAAATCCAGGTTTGAAGTGAGTTGAAATGTGTGTTATGTAATATGCACGTGGCAGCCCAGCAAGAGATGAATGATCAGTTGATTTACTTTTTTTTGTAAATGAACGGATCGTTCCTAGTCATCAAAGGATTAACAGAAAATACGTTGATTGATTAATCACTGTTATCTTGCACAGTGGATATGTCAAGAGTGAGTGTTTACATGTCTAGGTTTACTAAAACAAAGGGAATACACTCATATCATGGCGTGAAGTGCCGATGTAAAAACAACAAACTTTGTTCAAAGGGTTAACTGATAATACGTTGATTAATGGATCATTGTTATCTATCACTCAATGGATTTTTTAGGAACCGTGGACGTTATGAAAATAGTTGTCACGTGGGCTTTCTCAGCCGACCATTGAGACTTGACACCTATGTAAAACACCTGAAACAATCCAAGTGATCAGTGTTGTTGCTTTGTGTGGATATTCACGGATACATTCCTCGAACAAGGAAGCTACCTAAAATTTATACACATAAATTTGGTAGGTTGTAATTATGAAATTTGCATTTTGTTTTCCTTCATTTGAACGGATTCGTTCTTGTTTCTCTACGTCTTGGTTGGGAAATTCTTCAATGCGCGATAGACGTTGTTTTCACAGGTCTTTTCCTTTGTAAGCGTGTATATATTACCGTCAATTTGTAAAATGTGATTCTCTCAGGCAATTTATAAAATGTGTAAATATTTCAGTCATTTTGACTAAAAAATCTGCCCAGATTGATTAAGACGATCAAAAGGGCCTACAGACATCACAACAGATTATTATGTAGGATTAGAAGCCAAACAACATAGAAATGTACTTTTCAACGTAACATTTTCAGTCTCTTGGTGATGACATTACACATCAAAATGTTTGGAATTCGTTATCATAATAATACAGATGGAAATGTTTTTCAGTCACTTTGTAAAATAACTGAATATTTAGACGTTTAATAAATTGGTTACACATTTGACAGTAAAAATATATACACACTATAAAAAAGCAATGCCCAGGTGAAACATTTACTTTGTGTTGCAAGTCAAAATAGTGTAAACGAAAATCGCAAAATTACCAAGCAAGTGGCTTATCAAAACTTCGTCACCATTACCGATGCTACCCACAAAGATACCTACATTTCCTTATTATCTCGAAAACTGTATTTCATTTTGTTGATCAATGTGACCATACGCCCTTATTACTACCCATAAAAGTGACTAATGCGCTTACGAATGGCGCAGCAGAGGTCGCGAACTAGTCTAGATTTCTGCTATACATCCGGGTACTCACTGGGAAAAAACAATAACAAAGGCAACAACCAGTCCCGGGTAATTGCGTTAGATCAGTGCCCCTTTAAGAATATGCCAAGTAGGTTAAAAATGCATGTGTTTAATAGATACGCTGTAAATGGTTGTAAAATTGGAATGGTAGGGTGAGAAAGAAGTTCAGTAATATGGATTTAGGACATCTGTTAAACGCAACAGGTTCGACAGATATATTTTGTTTTGTGCACAGGTGGAACAATGGTGTACGAATGAATATGTTATCCTTTGGAGTGATATGAAAGGAAGAGGGGCGAAATGGGCTTAATAAATTGAGAATGTACCGATGTTATAAGCAGGTATATGAGGCAGAAAACTATGTTTCAAATAAGATGGCCAGAAACTATAGATCGGCACTAGCCAAGTTTAGGTGTGGCGTGGCTCCTATTCGAGTGGAAACTGTCTGTCTGTCCAACACTCCTTTTCGATCATAGGGAAACTTACTAGTCTTTACGATCCTACACCCCTTCTCGGTCAAAGGGAAACTTACTAGTCTTTACGATCTTACACCCCTTCTCAGTCTTAGGGAAACTTACTAGTCTTTACGATCTTACACCCCTTCTCGGTCTTAGGGAAACTTACTAGTCTTTACGATCCTACACCCCTTCTCGGTCTTAGGGAAACTTACTAGTCTTTACGATCTTACACCCCTTCTCGGTCTTAGGAAAACTTACTAGTCTTTACGATCCTACACCCCTTCTCGGTCTTAGGGAAACTTACACGTGAGTGAGTAAGTTAAAATTGTACATCGCATCGGCAATATTGCAGCCATATCGCGATACGAACAAGGTAGTTACTATAATTAAAAATCTCTCGACGATGGACAGTAAAAAAGTAAGGAAAATATCACAGTTTAAATATAAAACAAACCTGCGCAATAATAAAACAAAGACATTTTCAGTAGATTAGTTTCTATAAATTAAAACCAGGCTATAGACCACTGGCAACCAAACCTGGACCACCTAACTGGGGATCATGGGGACTTACATTGCTTTTGCTTCCTGCATGATTCCCGGCAGGATTTATGCCATCACTTTGGTCACCAATAGCTGTATGTAGTGCTAACCAATAGTAAAAAATGGAAGTACAATCAATACATTAAGACACGAGTTGATGTTATACACTTCAATATAGATGGACTCACGTGCCCCTGTCAGGGGACAATAGTTTGACACTATGTTAACCCCCTGAGTGACACAGCCTTCAATAGTCTCAGTTGTTAATAATATCACACTATTTTAAAACAATTCAAAATTCAAAAATTATCAAATAATTGAGCCGCCCAAGCGCGTTCGAGCCCCCACAATTGGATCTGAATAAGTGTGCCCGGTAAAGCGGTAAAGCGCACTACTCCCAAGAACGCTTTGAAACTTTAAAATGACTTCAAATAGATAGGACGAGAACGAATAATATATTACATGTGGATTATACAATCATTGTCTCTTTAATCAGCCGATACGTTTGTATTGTTTGCATTGTACAAAGAAATATGTTGACTGTCCCTTGCAGATTTAGCCTCAGAATGTGCTCATTCGAATAAAGAACGAAATCCATTCAATATATTTGCTTATCATGAATATACATGATATAGTTAAAAGTTATACATATACATGTACACTGTAAATGTATTCACTTAAAAGTCGTATAAAACATTCGACCTTCGCGGGCGAGTTGAATGATCAAGGTCAATTGGAACGAAATGTAGAACGGGTAAATTAAATTATCCATGAAAAATAGAGCTGACTTGAAGGGAGATATGACGTTAGCCACCTGAGTTAGATACTTCCATCACTGTATCTCAGAACGCAGAACTGATAAATTCAAACATGTAATTAGTACACAGAGAACTATTGCTTATAATTTCCCGCAAATTCCTGTTTGAACAAAAAGCCTACATGTATACTGTAATCGGTGTCCACTGTTAAAAGGGTAAAAGTGCAGTCAGCCATAGTAAATGGAGAGACAAAAAGGTGAATAATTACAGTCGGTTGCAGAATATTATTACTATTCAAGAGTATCTGCGATTCATGTCCATTTAATCAGAAACACATTTTTTAACATCGATCATATAGGTCAGAAGCATACTTGAATTCTTTGTGAACGGGTACATTCTTGGGTTAAAAATGTTCCAACTCAGTGAGTGAGTGAGTATGGTTTCACGCCGCTTTTAGCAATATTCCAGCAATATCACGCGGGGGCCACCAGAAATGGGCTTCACATATTGTACCCATGTCGGAAATCGAACCCGGGTCTTCGGCATGACGAGCGAACGCTTTAACCACAAGGCTACCCGACCGCCCCTTGAACTCAGATGTCACTGAAAGTAGTGAAGTGAATTGAGATCTATTCATCGGAAATTTTCACATTAATTCTTTTCTACCGCTTTCCTTTTCAGAATGTTTAAGGCCTATTGCACTTCAGCTTGAAAGGCATGTATGGTTGCTTTCTGTGTGATCCTCCTTTACGCGTCATGGTATTCAACCCCAAAGCCCATCAACATCCAATCAAACAGATTCATTGTTATCCTTTTTCTTTTCACAGGGCGGTCATCCTTCGCAGCTCCTGTGTCGTGGCGTATTAGCATTGACATGTTTCACCGACAAATCACATTTTCCTTCATTCAAGGACACTGAAAGTGCTGAACACACTGAAAAGTAACTTATTTTCATTCATGACTCGGGTTGTGAAGGTGAGTCAAGCGTTATAACCCCCGTCTTCGTGTTTCTTCAGTCTCGACGTAAAACGACAGATGAGAAGACGAATGCACTGGGTGTTTCCCTTTTCCCGAATACGACCTGCGGGTTGAGTACAACAGCTCCTCAAAAATGAATCTCCCTGCCTCAATCCCGCATTTCCCAACCATAACCCCGTACCTGCCTACCTCAACCCAGCATCACCCTACTTCAAACACGCACCTCTCTACCTCAACCCATCACGTCCCTACCTCAACCCAGCAACACCCTACTTCAAACCCTCACCTCTCTACCTCAACCCACCACGTCCCTACCTCAACCCATCACGTCCCTACCTCAACCCAGCAACACCCTACTTCAAACCCGCACCTCTCTACCTCAACCCATCACGTCCCTACCTCAACCCGGCACCTCCATACTTCAAACACGCACCTCTCTACCTCAACCCATCACGTCCCTACCTCAACCCAGCAACACCCTACTTCAAACCCTCACCTCTCTACCTCAACCCACCACGTCCCTACCTCAACCCATCACGTCCCTACCTCAACCCAGCAACACCCTACTTCAAACCCGCACCTCTCTACCTCAACCCATCACGTCCCTACCTCAACCCGGCACCTCCATACTTCAAACACGCACCTCTCTACCTCAACCCATCACGTCCCTACCTCAACCCAGCAACACCCTACTTCAAACCCGCACCTCTCTACCTCAACCCATCACGTCCCTACCTCAACACAGCAACACCCTACCTCAACCCAGCAACACCCTACTTCAAACCCGCACCTCTCTACCTCAACCCATCACGTCCCTACCTCAACCCGGCACCTCCATACTTCAAACACGCACCTCTCTACCTCAACCCATCACGTCCCTACCTCAACCCAGCAACACCCTACTTCAAACCCGCACCTCTCTACCTCAACCCATCACGTCCCTACCTCAACACAGCAACACCCTACTTCAAACCCGCACCTCTCTACCTCAACCCATCACGTCCCTACCTCAACCCGGCACCTACCTACCTCAAACCCACTCCTCCCTACCTCAACCCACACCTCCCTACCTTAAACCCGCACCTCCTTACCTCAATCCAGAACCTACCTACCTCAAACCCACTCCTCTCTACCTTAAACCCACTCCTCCCTACCTCAACCCATCACCTCCCTACTTCGAACCCACACCTCCCTACCTTAAACCCACACCCCCTTACCTTAAACCCACACACCCCTACCTCACACCCGCATCTCCCTACCTTAACCCAGCAACGCCTTCCTTAAACCCACTCCTCCCTACCTCAACCCATCACCTCCCTACATCGAACCAACACCTCCCTACATTAAACCCACTCCTCCCTACCTCAACCCATCACCTCCCTACCTCAACCCATCACCTCCCTACATCGAACCAACACCTCCCTACATTAAACCCACTCCTCCCTACCTCAACCCATCACCTCCCTACCTCAACCCATCACCTCCCTACCTCAACCCGCACCTCCCTACCTGCACCTCCCTACCTGCACCTCCCTACCTCAACCCGCACCTCCCTACCTGCACCTCCCTACCTCAACCCGCACCTCCCTACTTGCACCTCCCTACCTGCACTTCCCTACCTGCACCTCCCTACCTCAACCCGCACCTCCCTACCTGCGACTCCCTACCTCAACCCGCACCTCCCTACCTCAACCCGCACCTCCCTACCTGCACCTCCCTACCTCAACCCGCACCTCCCTACCTCAACCCGCACCTCCCTACCTCAACCCGCACCTCCCTACCTGCACCTCCCTACCTGAATTACGTCAGCCACTGGCCACATACATCCTCAAAGTATAGTAACAATCAAAAAGGCCAATGCCGTACTAATAACCCAGTGACTCACGTAACAACGGTTGTCAATCCGTCTGCTACAGCCACTATACCATCATCCCTGACACAACTGGCGTACAAACGGCTTTTTCAAAATATTTGAACTAGATGTTGCATTTCTTATATCAGCTAAAGGTCCTGTTTGTGAAGATATGCACTAGACATAAGATTTATAGACTAATAAAATCAATTTTATGTTTGTTTGTTGTTTAACGCCGCACTCAGCAATATTCCAGCCATATGGTTGTCTGTAAAATAATCGAGTCTGGACCAGACAGTCCAGTGGTTGACATCATGAGCATCGATCCACGCAATTGGGATCGATGATATATATCAACCAAGTCAGCGAGCCTGACCACCCGATCCCGTTAGTCCCCTTTAAATCAATTTAAAGACTGCATAGACCATCAAACCGAATACCATACTCTTTGCATCATCTGTTGTGTTTTAGATGATGGTAATGACCTGAAATGTTATAACGTTAGATTAGGAAGGAGAAACATTAAAGTTTTGGTTTTTTTTATTCCTGGGACCATGAGCAATAAGATGTAGCAACATAAACATGCATGGAATGGTATAGGGAATAAGGTTAAAACAAATTGAAATAGATTATAATAAAACAGTATTGTACTAAACAACTTGCAAAAGCGGTGCCCTAAATTGTTTGACCTTGTTATGTGTGTTGTAGTCTGACGACTAGCAAGTAATTGTCATGCTATGGTTCCATATACAAATTCAGATATACCACCGGTATGAAGCTGAGAATTGAAATGAAAAGTATAACCTGCATTCACACTCTGAAGTAATATAATTCTTGTGTGTATGCCTTCTCCTCTGAAAAATGTCTCACTAACATATTTGAATTGTAATAAATATAGTATTTAATAAAACTTGGTAATTTGGTGACTCTCCGACAGATATGATTTTCAGTTGTTTGACACCATTGATTGCTACGGATTACGTACATGTAGTCACTTTCTCTAATGCATCTGCTAGTTAGAAATTTCAAATGTCATGTAATAGCACTGTTCCTAAATTAAGGCAGTTTCTTTTATCGGGCACAAATAGGTGATTCGTCTAGTCACGCAGTCATTTTTACTTGATCGAATTATTTCTACGAAAGGAGTACTATAATGTTGTGGTATTATGAATGAATTTATATATGAATAGTGAAAAACAGTCACCATATGGGATGTGCATGTATATATTGTCTTCCACATCACGCTTGTGTCGAGGCCCGGTTGTCATAAAACCAATCGTTCCTATAAAAGGAGCAAATACTTTCGCCGATATATATTCCGCTGTACCTGCTATGGTTCACTCCCAATTGTCAGACATCGGACAGACCAGTGTGCCTGCCTGGTCTTACCTTCTAATTACTGAGCTGCCCCATACTGTCATACTGTGGGCAGAGTAAGCTACTCCAACTCGTTGATTGATACAGATTAACCAGATTATGATTGTGTTTTTAAGTTGCATTTGATCTGTGTCGGGTTGCGGGTGTGTTTTTTAGGCCAGACTAGGAGTAGTTGTTTCAATGAAACCTTTTAACCGTTGATTTTGTTTTGCACTAATTTCATTAAATACATTGTCAGGTAGAATAATAGCACTGTTATATAGATTAAACATCGATCCATGTGTTGGGGAGATGTGTTGTGTAATTCAAACGGGTTGGACTTTCTCACTTTCAATGAAAAGCAAAGTAAAACATGTCCAAAGGATCCCGGGATGTCACTCCCAACATTTATATCCTACTCAGACACAATATACTAACTCCGAGCCGACCAGTCCTTGTTTTAGCCACTTAATGCCAAGCGCCAGACAGGGTAACAACAAGTATTTCAGGAGATACTACTGCAGCCATGATTAGTGTCTTATTTAATGCTACAAAATCGGTTTAAGAAATACTAATTACCTCCTGTTGTCCTGAGCAAGCAGCAGTCCTCGTATCCAAATACAACTCAACTACCTGATGTTGGTGGGTAGCCACACCTACCATTCATGCCCATACTCGTTTTGTGACGACTATAACCAGTACATAAGCGACATGGGGTACCGGATTGCCTAAAAGTCGGACCAGGAAAAGGTCCATGTCGGGCCTACAGGTTATGCTAAAAATGGATTGCAGGATAATAAAACGAAACGTGTATATCTAGGCAGATGTCCACAAACGTATAGTTTTTCTCATTTAATTAAGATTGAATAAAAATGCATCTTCAACAATGTAATAAACTCATAATTATGACTACATACCGTGAGTCCTCGTGGACAGGTCAGTGTGTGTTTTCTTTGATGCGAAGGTTTTTCACCGACCTCAGCGTGTAGGGGTGTGATGTCCTGGGCAGGAAATGATAGTGTTTTGACTACTCTTCTTTCATTAATGAACGTGTTAGGCAATCCTAATTAACCTTTACTAATTCATTTTAAACCAACACAGGAAGTTTTCTGGAAGTGGATATTCCCGAATTTCATAAGGATGACACGACACTTGTTAATAACTGTCCTAGCACTTCTAAAGTTACTGAACATTCTTTACATCTAAAGATAAGTATCATATCTACCTATATACCTCTTTTGTGTCTCATATTGCGGTAGTTAAAGAAAACAAGGTGCTCAAAGTGAAACCCTTTTCCCTCTACATTCTCAGGGTGCTTTATTAGAAGTTATTGGTCTGTGCTCGGTCAGACTTGGCCCGGGCTGTCAAAAACCTTAAGCCTCAAATATATTATCTTGACGTGGATTCTAATCTATAGATTAGTATTATATCTACCTATATATACCACTTCACAGTGTCTCAGATCGCGGTATTGAAAGAAAACAAGGGGCTCAAAGTGAAGCCCTTTTCCCTCCACATTCTCAACATCCTCAACATATCTCTTTTATAACTTAGAAATAGATCTAACATACAAATAATCAAATGTAGAACCCAGACCTATGCTAAATCATTTCTTCCGGATACGGGGCGGTCGGGTAGCCTAGTGGTTAAAGCGTTCGCTCGTCACGCCGAAGACCCGGGTTCGATTCCCGACATGGGTACAATGTGTGAAGCCCATTTCTGGTGTCCCCCGCCGTGATATTGCTGGAATATTGCTAAAAGCGGCGTAAAACCATACTCACTCACTCACTCACTCTTCCGGTTACGATAAACCCTTGGAACAATCTACCCAACGAAGTTACTAATAATTGCTAATTAAACGAATTCAAATTCTTAATTAATCGTTCTGATACAATTATTAATAATTTTGACTTAAAATACGGTCATAGATCATGCCAAATTGTCCACTGTCGCCTTAGGCTCGGCTGCAGTGACCTAAACGCTGATAAGTTTAGACGACATGTATCAGACTGCACTTGTGGGTATCACTTTGAAGAAGCAATTCACTTTTTCTATACCTGTCAAAAATACGATAATATCAGAAACACCATCTATTTCTACATACATGGGTATGATTTACAAACGATATTAAATGACAGTAGTTTAGTTAGCAGTTCTACAAACATGACTATTCTTCAATCAGTTCACGATTTCATTGTCCAAAGCAAAATATTCGAGTAGCCTAATTTTATGCATGTAGAAGAGGATAACTGCATTATCTTATTTCACAGACATCACCTGTATTGGCTTCATATATTTCATTTGTGCATTAAGCTATCTTACATATATTCTTATATATACCCAGCTGTTGTAAAGTTATTACCTTACATCAGCAAGTTTTGCTTGTTTACCGATCGAGATTTCTTTTGAAATAAAAATGTTTCAACCAACATTTAGGCAAGGGTTAGCCATAAATCCTTACCTTTTCAAGCGTTAATCCAGTTAATCCGATTGGTCGGTCATGTTGACATAAACAATAGCGGGTGTGGTTTCAAGAAAAGATGAATGGGAGGGCGGACTCTGACGTCACACGCATGCGCTATTCATTGTTTTCTGAATTACGCATGCGTGTTAATGGGGTGCTAATGACCCGTTAAACGAGCACTGATTACACGTGATAGTGCTTGTGGTCCAGTGGTAGAGCGTCGGCTAATTAGCGCATTAATGAGCCAAGGCGGTGCGCCGGCGAAGCGCGTTCAAGCCCCCTCAGCGCTAACTGGATCTGAATAATTGCGCCCGGTAAGGTGCTCTACTCCCGTTACAAGCTCTGCGAGTTGTTTTTAGATGTTGTCAGGTGATACTATGTGAAGGGACGCGTGACTGGGTACGGCTGTGGCGTTAATTGGTATAACAATAGGGGTAAGGGGTAGCTTGGGCTTTGGGGTCAGTTTAAATAGCGGGCAAAGATCTCAATACGCCAAGTTGTCTAACTGGCTCAAACTGGGGAGCCTCCAAAGATACCCTAGTCTCACTCTATATATCCCTAATTAGATCAAAACTAGACTACGGCTGTGCCATATACGACACTCTCATTAAAAAAAAATAGACTCAATCCAATACCAGGCTCTAAAACTAATTACACGAACCCAACGTGGCACCTCTTACACTTCACTCCAGGCCTCAACAGGAGAAATGCCACTAAAACTACGTGTAGCAGGGTACCTTATATTCTTCCTATAGTTATATCATTATTCATACATCATCATCATAATCATCTATATGTTCAATGTTTGTCTTGTCTACAGTTGAATATCAGTATCTAACTCTTTAAACAACTCAACACCCTTATTTTCAGTCTCTGGGAATCTCTCACCAGATCTTCCCCTTCAACCTTCTGTCTATCTTTAGACATTTTTTACACCTGTAGGGTTTCCCTCAGTCTATTTATATCTTGCATTAAGCACTTCCTTTGATGCTTAATGCAATCTGTCTTCTAATTGGCCACCCTGGTCCTCTACAGGTAGCTTCCTTCCATACCTGACTTCCTCCTCACTTCATGTGCTGCTGTTGAGGAGGAAGGACATTTTCTTTTCTTCAGGTATGGAATGGCCATATTTCAATCTGTTTTCATCTGCTTCTGTCAGAAATTAATATCTATGTTAGGGTGCTGAATTAAATTGAATAATATATATATAATATCATTTAAAGTAATATTAAATTAGTAAATGGAATATTGATATTATAAAACTTGCTTGTAAAATAATTAACCACATGGTCCATTTTGGACCATGTGCTTTCCAAGTATCCTATAATGAACATATAACAGTAATTTAACATTAAAGTTAGTTTTAGTATAGTTTATCAATGGCTTTTGTACTTTTATATTTAAGATAAATAATACCTGTAAACTTGCAAATATATGACTTCATGTGCTGCTGTTGAGGAGGAAGGACATTTTCTTTTCTTCAGGTAGTTCTTCAACAGCAGCCACCCCCCTTGAAATAAATCCATTATCACCATCTGCCTGTGTCTGTGTTTCCCAACGGCCCGAGCCGGATAAATACCACTACCCCGGCTACAAATTTGGCGCCCAACGTGGGGCCGTTGGCTGTCACTCTGGACACAGGCTTCATCAACTTCATCGTGTTCTGGGGGTAATCCTTCATCACTGTTGAAGGATTCTTCATTGAAGATTCAGGATGTTTCTTCCATGCAACTTGTGGAAGTTTTGTGTGTAGCGTTGAGCTATAACTCTGACTAAAATTTAATCTTGATCCTCAATCGTCAGTGATCTACACTTTGTTATGACGTTGAACTTTTCGTCTGCATCAGTGCTAAAATTGAGGTGCTTCCTCCAATTCCTGGAAGTGTGACTTTTATTTTAA